GACAAAGATTATATCGAAATTGGAAGAGATTGCGATAGTGGCCAACTTTACAGTGAGGAAGAAGGACTGGAGCGTGAGGCTGGAAGGTAGTAGAGAAGGTGCTAAAGGACCGTTGATTATTAAGGTTGAGATATTTGAGCTGACAACATCTCTTGTGGTGGTTGAAGTGAAGAAGAAAGGAGGGTTTATAGAAGAGTATGAAGAGTTTTGCAACAAGGAACTTAGACCACAGCTAGAGAAACTGATGCATTACCAAGCAAATGAAGTTGACATAGCAATGTCTTTGCCCCTTGAAACTGAAGAGAGAGAGTAAGTTAAAAGAAGACGGATGGCCGAGAGAAGAAGACATTGCAAGAGAAGGTATTAATATTCTTTGTTACTATGCCATATATTTTTATTATTCTGACAGTATGATGTGTATCTATATATGTAAATGAGAGTTGTGATAAGAAGATCAGAGAATAAAACAAGTAAATAAGAATAAAGAGTGAGATCGTAAGGCAGTTTAAACGGTTTTTGCTGGCGATTATAAAGCTAGTTTTTCGTTGATTGCTGTTGTACATTTATTCCTACGGATGAGCTTAATGGAAATTCTTTCTCGGCCTTTCTTTTTAAGAAAGTTCATCTTTATTCATAATAAGAAAGACTATATGATCATATGAGACGTTCAGATGTTACCTGTCGACACATTGGTGTCTTGTAATCTTGGTGATCTTTATATTGTTGATTCTTGAAGTTACTTAAATCTTGAGATAATATAAATAGGAGTGTAAGAGACTATAAGTTTTTTATTCACACAATCAATAAACAAACTCTAAAACGGGCATGCCTCAGTCGAGTTTTGCTCTGGAGTTACTTTCATTTTTTGCAAGTTTAAATCAATGAGTTTCTAGACATATATGTTAGCACCTGAATGGAAATATGAACATAACATTTACTGGAAACTAATATTCTCTTATTAGCTCGGTAAGGCAACTGAATATGGAAGTATAGCTAACATGTAAATCAATATGAGGGACTATTTTTTAAGTGTCTGTATGGCTCACAAAATAAAGCGCGGTTTTAGTATGCCTTTGAAGTTGTAGATTCAACATGATGATCCCAATAGGTAGATCCTGGAAGACTACAAATTTTTTAGCTTGAAGAGATATTCGAGCTTACTTAAGGTTAATTATGTAAAAGCCAAGAATCTTAAGGCTTTATGGGTGTTATCATAGCAAGATGAGTCTAAATTTTCATTCATCTTCTTGATTCCACTATTCATTCTTAGGGAGTCTACATCCTGACTCTCGAGAAAGCTTTTTCGGTTGCTTTCCAGCCATTTTGGTACTTCTGAAGATGTTTCTTGCAAGATCTTGGCATTTGAATTACCTGATCATTGCTGGTTTTTGGATTTTCTCTGTGTCAACATATAAAGTCTTTTCCGCAACAGAGTTTGTAGAAAAGTCAAATCTTGTATTTATTGAATAGAGTAAGTCCTGAGTTGATTGGATTTCTGATATGCTTGTTCAAATTGTTAGCTCTCATAATCTCCACTTCCTTGCGAGTCCTTGGGAAACCAGCAGAGTAAAGAAGGGAAGAGTTTCCTAGTGTGCGATATGGTGACATAAAAGCCAGTTTGTCTACAAGGAGATCAGGACGAACCTGAAATATTTTGAACCATAAACAACTTTATAAATACTAAAATACATTACAACATTTATAAATTAATAATTGATAAATTAATATACATTAAAAATCTCTATAAATTAATATAATTGTATAGTTTCAAATTGAGTTTTTGGTTCACTTTGTATATCGATAATTTAATAATTTCTATAAATTAATAAAAAAATTATAATTTTGGTGTAGTCCCAACATTATTAATTTATAGTGGTTTAATTTTATTAATATATAGAGGTTTAACTGTGACTTCTTTTTCTTACTAAAATAACTTTTTAGAAAGTAAGAAAAAAGGCAATCTAGGGTTCTATGTTGATATGAATTATTAAACTGAAAAAAAAATTAGAGATTGAAAACAGATGTTTCATTTAGCAATGTCTAGAACCGGCCTGTTTGGAGATGATGACACGCTTGCAGTAAGATTTGTATGTTCAGATCCAAAGTAATTTAACTTCTTTCCAACACTTGGATATAGAAAACCTGGGGGTTTGAAAGTATCATCGCTATTAATTTTTGTGTTGTCTTTGAAGCTTTTAATTTGGTAATTGTCCACGTACTGTCACCACCGGCTCAGCCACACACACGCAGTTCCAAGATAAATCCAATTTTTGCTGAGGGAATAGATGTGTGACGACATATTGCGAGTTATGACTGCTTATGAATCACTCAGTTTTGTTAAGTCAACCTTATTTTATTATTTGCCTCTTACGAAATCAGAATAAGTATTGTAAATATGAATTTGCAACTGTGCGTATTGGATAAACCATATATATTTATATATATCCATAATAATTTGTAAATACTCGCTATAAGATTTAAAGCAAAAGTTGGAAACCTGTAAACACAGTTTATCACTTGTTTGGTATGCATGTATCATGCTCAACTGCTCAAGTGTATTTCAATCTTATCCGATGTGTTTGTGCAAATGTGCAATGACTCAAACAACTCCTTGACCTGCTCTCTAATGGATATCAATAAAAACAGTTCTTCGTTTTTTGCTTATACACAGTCACTGAATCACGAATTTTGAACACTTCTTTAAGATAAATGCTTTTTGTTTATATACGTAATACAAAAAGATAAGCATTATCCAAAAAGTTTTTTTTAAAAAAGCATTATCCAAACAAATGTAATATCTTAAAGTGGTCTTCATAACCATATTATGTTCTTCTGCGCGCCATGAGGATTATTTTCATTATTCTATGTATTTTCTTGTGACAGTACTATAACAAAAGTATATAAAACAGGAAAACTTTCGTCGTGCTTGCAATTTAGGCTCTTAGCATAAGCATAGCTGGAAATATATCGAGGTATAGGTCTTATAATAAAAATCGTAACTTTGCATTTGAAAGAATGAATAATTTTATTTGTATTACTGTATTTCGTTTTAATAATTGGTTTATTCGTACTATTGTATCAACCAATATACTGGTTCGGGCCTCCTAATATTAAAAAAAAAAATTGTTTCTTTCTTTTTATTAATCGGAACAAATAAAGCACTGAAAATCCATAATTTTTCGTTTGAAAGTGTTGGCAAATAACCTAATTGGTTGAAAATGTTTCCTTTAATATAATGAATTTTAGTTCAGATATATATCGTTTGAAAATCAATGTTTCAATGCATGGACTAAATATGTCTTTACCATATTTCAACTCATTTACATTTTATATTCTTAAAAGTTCAATTAAACAAACTGAACCGAACGTTTTCAAATTTGTTTTTGATGTTGTACTATCAAACATTTCAGGATTTCACAACTATTTTTTTAATTTTTTTTGGACAAAGATTTCACAACTAATTAACAATGAGTCGAGAGGGCTAGAGTAATAGAGTTCAAATCGTTTGATTGCGATTCAATTATGTTAGCCATGTGGCTAATCCTAAATGATAAAATTAATTAAACAACATTCACGTTAAGTATGAATTTTGATTAGAAATTTCCCACTAGTAAAAAATGAAAAAACACTTTTCAGACTAAAGCTACGTAAATAACAATTACAGTATGTTGCTTTTTGGTTTCCACTTTCCACGTTAACGCACCGACATTGATAATAACTTAAATGTGTATATGATCATACAAATTTATAGCGTGCATGTTGATGTAGTTGGAAAAAAACTATGAATGCACTTAACATCTTTTACTTCTATATATGTGTGTTTATGCTTTCATAGAAAATAGATGGTTTTTATTTTATATCTTCATTCTGTTTTCTTCAACTATTGGCGTGTTATAACTTACAAGTATATTGGCCATTTGACCTATCACCATTATATCTTACGATGAAACATTCCATTTTCCGCAGTAATATCTGACCAATTTATAAGTTTCCATCCATTCTTATCACACTTTCAGAATAAGTTCTGGACGATAGCTATGCACATTAAAAAGGTCAAACGCGAAATGCAAATTAGTATGCACATTATATAGAAACCGAGGTTGGAAGTATGATAGAAACTTTGTAGCTTTTTATTTGGTTTTGGACGGCTACGTGAACTCCACAAGTTACAGTCAGCACCGACTCAGCTACACACACGTGACGTGGTTCCCACGAATAGCACCCATAAAATCCAATTTTTGCTTGGGAAATATAGATGTGTGAGTATCGGCATGGGTGATTGAGCTTTTTCACCAATATATTTTGATTTCTAATATTAAAAGTATCGGCTATAGACAATTTGACACATATTAGTTGACAAAAAAAAAAAAGAAGACAATTTGACACATGTAATAATATAGTCTTTTGTATGAAAAATTCTCACATCTCTTTTTTTTTTTGAAAATTATTAAGATATTCTAACAAACTATAGACAATTTGACACATGTGATAATATAGTCTTTCAAATGAAAAAATCTCAATCTCATTTTCTTTTTCAAATTCATTAAGATATCCTAACAAACTATAGACAATTTGACACATGTGATAATATAGTCTTTCATATGAAAAATTCCCACATCTCTTTTTTTTTTTAATTCATTAAGATATCCTAACTAACTATAACTCTGCTTGTGGACAAGAAACACAGAGGCTGAGGTTGATAAGTCAACCTTATTATCTGTCTCTTAACAAATCGCATTAAGTATTGTAAAACACGACTTTTGCAACTTTTCGTATTAGAGAAAGAACATTTATATAATATTATCCCTAAACTAATAGTATGTAGGGCCGTCCAACGTGTTCATCTGCTGGCAAATTAATGGATTTGGATAAAAGCAAAAAAAATTATAATGAGACGACTTCTCAGCTTATAATAATAAAAAAACAAAATGATCTCAGCTTCCAAAACCATTATAAAACGAATACAAAGTGGCTTTGTTAAGACATCATTACAACCTGAACAAGACAACCCATCCATATCTTATTTTCGTTCATTTCTTCCATTTCATTCTCGAAACAAAGTCTCAAGCCACCACCAATGGCTCCAGTCCCATCTCCGCAAGTGCTACTACCACGTCTTCTCGGTAAAGTCATTACCAAAGACGTGAAGAAACAACAAACCAGTCCTCCAGAGACTCCCAAGAGTCCAAAAACTCCACAAACCTCTATACTCATGGACAAGTACGACCTAGGAAAGCTTCTTGGCCAAGGAAGCTTCGCTAAAGTCTATCTCGCAAGAAACATCAACACATGCGAGAACGTGGCCATCAAAGTCATCGACAAAGAAAAAATAGTCAAAAGCGGTTTAGCCGCTCACATTAAACGCGAGATATCAATCCTCCGCCGCGTCCGCCACCCTTACATTGTCCACCTCCACGAGGTCATGGCTACAAAGACCAAAATCTACATCGTCATGGAGTTCGTACGTGGCGGAGACCTTTTCGAAAAAGTATCCAAAGGACGGCTACGCGAAGGAGTCGCCAGGAGATACTTCCAGCAACTGATCTCATCCGTTTCCTTCTGCCACAGCCGCGGTGTTTACCACCGCGACCTGAAGCTTGAGAATCTTCTTTTGGATGATGAAGGGAATCTTAAGGTATCTGACTTCGGTCTCAGCGTCGTCTCCGAGCAGTTAAGACAAGATGGGATATGTCAGACGTTTTGTGGGACCCCTGCTTATTTGGCGCCTGAGGTTTTCACGAGGAGAGGCTATGACGCGGCTAAGGCTGATGTATGGTCTTGTGGAGTGATCTTGTTTGTGTTGATGGCTGGTTACCTTCCTTTTGATGACAAGAATGTTATGGTTATGTACAAGAAGATTCAGAGAGGACAGTTTAGGTGTCCTAAATGGTTTTCACCTGAGCTTACAAGGCTTATGGGACAAATCTTGGACACGAATCCGGATACAAGAATCACTATACAAGAGATCATGGAGCATAGATGGTTCAAGAAAGGGTTTAAAGACATAAAATTCTATATCGAAAACGATAAGTTATGTAGAGAGGATAATGATGATGAGGATGATGATGAAACATTGTCATCAGGGAGATCATCTATATCTTCAGAAGGAGATTCAGAGTTTGAGGTTAAAAGATTTGGGTCAATGCCAAGACCAGCAAGTCTAAATGCATTTGATATCATATCATTCTCTTCGGGTTTCGATCTTTCGGGTTTGTTTGAAGAAGGAGGACAAGGAGCAAGGTTTGTATCTGCTTCTCCTGTGGGAAAGATCATATCAAAGCTGGAAGAGATTGGGAATGTGGCGAAGTTTACGGTGAGGAAGAAGGATTGGAGTGTGAGGCTAGAAGGTAGTAGAGAAGGTGCTAAAGGACCGTTGACTATTAAGGTTGAGATATTTGAGTTGACAACATCTCTTGTGGTGGTTGAAGTGAAGAAGAAAGGAGGGTTTATAGAAGAGTATGAAGATTTTTGCAATAAGGAGCTTAGACCACAGCTAGAGAAACTGATTCATTACCAAGCAGATGAAGAGAGACTCTGTTGAAAAAAAACGGATGGCCGAGGGGGGAAGACATAACAAGAGAAGGTTATTTACTATAGGAACATTCTTTTGTTACTATACCATTTAATTTGATTTTTATTGTTCTGCGATGATGATGATGATGATGATGATGATGATGATGATGATGATTTTGTATATATGAAAGTGAGAGTTGTAATAAGAGTGATAGGAAGATGAGAGAGGGAGATCCTTAAGGCAGTTTTAGACGGTTTTTTTCGTTTTTGCTGTTGTTTACATGTATCTCTAGAAAGAGATGAGCTTAATGAAATCTTTTCTCGGCCTTCCTTTATAAAAACTGTCTTTTTTCATCTACACAAATATGGTTTCATATAATATGATCAACTAAATTACATATGTTAGTACCAGAATGAAGAAATGAACATAACAATTACTTTAACAAATAAACAAATGTTCTTTCTTATTAGCGAGGTAAAGAAACTGACATAAAATGGAAGTATAACTACACAATGGAAATCAATCTAAGGCTCACAAAAGAAACCTTGAATTTTAGTAGGCCTATGAAAGTTGTAGATTCAAAAGGTGTCAAGTCTTGGGAAGCTTCAAAGTGTTATGTTGTGGATTGACAAGGTGACCGAGCAACAAGTTCCTACAAAAAGATATAGTGAACATCAAAAAAGATATATTCAACATTCAAAGAAAGCTTGAGAAGCTTACTTCAGAATAGCGTATATGATCTCTGTGAATACAAGAAGTCTTGACTATAGTTTCCCACTTGGTTTCACTTGTGGAGTTTTCTTTGAGATCCTTTTTGTTGGGATGAAACAAGTATCTCCGTGAAGAGATCTTCGAGCTTACTGAAGGCAGATTACGTAAAAGCCAAGACTCAGAAGGCTTTTTAGGTGTAGGTAAAGCAAGAGGAGACATATCACATCCGCTGTTGTTCTTTTCCAAGCCATCTGCATTCATCTTCTTGATTCCACAACTAATACTTAGGGACTCTACAGCCTGATGCTCCAGAACGGCTTTCGGTTTCTTTGAAGTTGTGTCTGGCGAGATCTTGACATTGCTGGTGTTTGGAGTCTTATCTTTGTCAACATACAAAGTCTTCTCCATGACAGAGCTTGTACAACAGTCAAGTCTTGTACTCTTTGGATAGAGTAAGTCATGAGACTTCTTTGGGTTCTTGATATGTTTGTTCAACCTGTTAGCTCTCATTATCTCCGCTTCTTTACGAGTCTCAGGGAAGCCAGCAGAGTGAAGAGGGGAACAGTTTCCTACACTGCGGTACGGTGACAAACAGCTAGTTTGTCTGTAAGGAGATGATGGCACACTTGCAGTACGCAGGTTTGTATCAACACTTGGATGTACTGGAGATTGAGTTCTGCTTCCCAACTTATCAAGAGCCAGCTGAAACAATACAACTCAGTGAGTGTCTGATCAGATCTATATGATGGTAAAACAAGCTAAAGAAGAAAACCTTTTTCACAGATTGAAACCGAGATTTGAGTTGAGAGACCTTGCTTGACTTCTCTTTGAGACCAGGCACTGAACTCAACATACCAAGTGAGTTTTTAAAGCAGAGTTGTGGTGACATCATCCCACAGCCTCTTCTAGATAGATACTCAGAAGCTTCATCTTCATCTTCATCGCTTGTATCATAATCTATGTCCTGATAATATGATGGAGTGGTGTTATACGCATACCTATTAGGAGTTGCAGCTGGTAGTAGTATATCTCTAATTTGTCTCACTGGTTCAGACATGTAGGGAGATGGTTGTCGCTTCATAACATACTGAGGTTGTTGTTGCTCCATGGTCATTGACTTTGCGGCTGGTAAAAAACGGTTCAACATGAAATCCTGACACTGATCAGGATCCTCGGATGCTTCAACCTTACCACTTATACTATTCTTTAGAGATAATGTATCAAGAGCATCAGAGAAGACATCATCATCATCTTCTTCTTCTTCCTCTACATGCTTACCCTTTGAGCTCAGTTGTGTTCTCAGGCTTCCATCAACGGCCTTCTCTAAGGGACTTTTGAAAACAACAGAGGCAGATTCTTGGACAAGACTTGTTGTATTGGAGTCATCATGAGTAAGTTTCTTTGCCATGTTTCTGCGTACAGAGACTGCTTCTTTCTTCATACGCCTTGTTGAAAGAAGAGGTGCATCAAAGTTAAGTTCTGCCATAGGAAACGTGCAGGTGAACCAACCAAAGCCGTTAGAAGAAAAAGCTCAGTGATCGATGAGCTAATAGTTGACTAACACTTTTAAATGATGTTCACATTTCTCCAAAACAGATCTGAACAAAAGAAAAATTAAACATAAATAATGAAACTGGAGCAAACCTAGATTCCATTTATTAATAGCTCGTTAATTTAATAATTATAGACACTGAGATACATGCACCACCAACGACAAATCTGAAGAAAGTGGAAACTTACAAAAAGATAAGACCTGTGACATGGAGTTTACTAGAAACTTATAATTAGTTTTTAAATATGCGCAGCTAAACTTTCAAACTCCTAAGAAGAGTGTGATCATTTTTTAAGCAATGTAGGAAACAAGTGAAGAGGACTATAGGAGTAAACAATGCCTGATTAATTTCACATAGTTCTGAGAGCTAAAATGAATATAAAGAACAAGTCGTGAGATAAACTAACCAGAGAGATGAAGGAGAAGCTTCGGCAACGAGAGAGTGTATGTGAGTGAGAGGAGAAAAGGGGAGACACTACTTGAGTTTGAGGATGAGTAAAAACAAAGGCATCTCAGGGATAAGGAGTAAGCTTTTGGTTTCCTGTAAATGTTTTTGTGCCTTGAAGATGACGGCTAAACCAAGTCACGAGACGATTTGTGTTTTTGTTTTCAAGCCCCAAATGGGGAAGTCTGTATTTATTCATTATCGTCTCCTCAACTAACTTCTGAGATGTAATAATGTGACAAGTATCAATTCTACAGATACACTTCATACTGTGAAAAGTATGAATCTTTTTCTTTTCGCCTAATTAATGATTTGCACGTTACGCTAACGGAAAAAAAGATGATGATAAGAAAAATCTATGGCTCGTACGTGAAGACAAGAAAAGAAACCATGCTATGATCTTTGGACTTAATTATCATATAGTAGTGAAAAGTGTTTAAACAGGTACAACAAACCATCCAAACATAACAACTCAAAGTCGGCCAATAATCAATGAAATTAAGCAAATAATATAAAGCATCAAGCGAGAGAAGAAAGTCCCATGAAACCAAAAGAGATAAGAACGCTATGTTCAGCTCTGCACCTGAGCTTCTGCTGCTTCTTTTTCTTCATTGGCTGCAGCCATCAGCTCATCAAACTTCTCTGACTTCCCAAGCGTAATTTCAATCTGCAACACCAAACAATCAAATTGAGCCTTTTGATTATCAAAAAAAAAAAGCGCTCGATGCCAATCAACAAGAATAAAACTACCTTAGGTTTCTGCACAGGACGTCCCCTTGCGCCATCCTTAATATCCACAGTTGAAGTCATGATCTCTATAACACATACCAACCAAAACAAAGGCTTAGTCGCTAAATCTCCAAATCGTATAATATATAAACTAAATTCAAGAAACTCACTCTTCTCAACAGCAAAACCACTGTTCTTCAGTATTTCAGCAATCGTAACAACGGTTGAAATGGCTGCACATAATTAATGTTCGAGAAAAACTTAATTAGTACAAAATCCATACTTCTTCTAGTGTGTTTCATCAAGCTTTAAACACAGTAACAGTCCAAATATATATATACAGAAGAATGCATAAAATATAAATAAAGAACATATACATACCCATTCCAAGGGCAGACAATTCAACATCATTGTGCTCTTGCATATACCTCTGAAACAAAGGTCAACAAACAAAACCACACTTACATCAATCTCTGACAAGATCTCCTCAACAACACACACACATGTAAATAACCAATTAATCAAACACACCAGACAATACAAAGCTTAAACCTTTATGATTCCTACAAGACAACTAGGGAAACTACACAGATTTTCCAGACAAAAAATCAAACCTTTTTTGAGTGGATAAGATTAACACAATGATCAAAACAGATTGTTCGGTCTAGAAAGTTTCAAGCTTTACCTTGGCGAGATTGACGTAGAAGAACAGTGGTTTCTTCGTGTTGGAAACCTGAATCCGGTTTTTCTTCTGGGAATCACCGGCTAAGTTCATGTTGTTCACTCCCTCTGTTATCCCTTCCATGGATGCTTGATTCGGAATCTGTAACCCTAATTTTGATTTTCGAGGTGAGGAGGACGAGTCAATAAATTAAAGAAGACAAAAGAGCGAGAGAGGCTTGTAGAGTTTATGACCCGATTCTCCTTCCCGGTTAACCCGGTTAGTGAATTGGGTTGTTGGGCCTTTAAGGTAGGCTATTTAATTTGTGTCATCTACCCTCATTAACATCGAAAGAAACAATTGGGCTTTGTTTGGGCCTAGAGATTGTCCAACCCAACTAAGATAGACCTCTCAAACAAGTTTACAGGCCCATTTGTAAAAATTCATATTGGTGCTAAATCTCGTCAACAGTCTATAAATAAATGGAAACTACAATTATTAGTTTCATTGTAGAGGTTGGTGATTACAAAACAAAAATATAAACTTGATGTCTGATTAATTAATTAAATAAGGTTTTGTAGAGTATAATACAAAACTATAATGTTAAAGAACGACCACTATATGTGTTTTCGATTTATAATTTGCTTCGGATCAATACTCATATCTTGGGATGTCAGTAAATTATCAGCCTATTGCCAAGTCAATGAGTTGGATTCTGACTACATTATTAAAAAAATACTGATCGAAACTACCTGCTTCAGATCTAATCTAATCAATATCTTGTTTTGATATTTTTTACAAAAACAAGGAAAAATATTATCATATGCTAGTGTGATATCTAGTTGGGATATGAATATGGTACTATGTCTTATTCCGGCACCGTACTCTCTATGCCACGTTTCATCTTAAACAAGGCATTGATGCAATCGATGGCGTTAGAAAGTTAGAACCCATTCTTGTTTATTTTCTGCATAGAATGAATATATGTTTATAAATTATTTTGTAGCATAAAATATATTGTATTCGTCAATTTTCCTTATAAGATACAAGTCATGGTCGCTTGGAGATGCATAGTTTAACATTATGAAGAAAAGCAAAATATGTATTAAAAACTAAATTGAACACATAACGTCATAACCTCAACACGAAATAAAATCCATGCCTAAGATATCTTATTGAATAAGGCATTTGGTTTGGTTATACCAATGTTCGTTTTGTTTATCTTCAAAACGTTAACTCACGATGTTAATGCTGAAAACGATAGATAGGATGGACGGCTGATGATTGTCACAATCGATGAATGATCCTCTCTATTCAACAAGAAAATTAAACAAAATTTAATACTCCTTTCGTTTCAATTTAATTATTATTTTGAATTTTTGTACATAGATTAGAAAAACAATTAATTTTGTATATTTTCTTGAAAAAATACAATTACTTATACAGTTAACCACATTTCAACCAATAGAAAAATAGAATAATATATAAACTTAATAAGTTTTGTATTGAAATTATAAAACGACAATTATTTTGAAACGAATATTTTACTCTACAATAACAACTAAATTGAAACAAATTGAGTAGCTAAAAGGCCTAATAGTTAATGGCTAGAACAAATTGAAACTATAATAAATGTAATGAAATGAAATTTATGATTAGGTAGTACCATAAATAAACGACTATGACTAAAAGTCATGCATAGATCTAATAGCATCACTTATTTAATAATGCTATACATATCAAGGACGATAGAATTGATTACTTCTTTGTACCAAAACCAAAGGAAGAATTAATTACTTCTAATAGTGTGTATATGGTGGCCATAAAATATTTGATTCTTTTCTATTATATATGTTTATCTTTGATTTCATACATATAGAAATGTTTGGGAACACGACAAAGAGCTCGAGTTAATGAATTGCTTTGGTTAATGGGACTTAGATCCTAACAACTCGAGAAGCATAGACCTAAAACTATCCTTGTGCAGATTTATTGCGTACGTATATAAACGTGGAACAGAATGGGTCACCACCCACATGCATGTGAGTCTCTTAAGTGTGAGTTATAGATGTAAGGATATGTACACGGTACACTCATTGTTGCAAAGATGAGTTATAGATGTAAGGATATGTACACAGTACACTCATTGTGAATTATAGATGTAAGGATATGTACACAGTACACTCATTGTTGCAAAGATGAGTTATAGATGTAAGGATATGTACAGTACACAGTACACTCATTGTTGCAAAGAAGAAGAAGAATGTGTTCACTCTAAGAACGTGCGTAGATGGAAGATACTAAGATAGTATGCAAGTAGCGTTACATATAACGTGATTAATTATTAGTTTAGGGAGGTATCGATTAGGTTGCAAGAGCCTGCTAACTTTATATTTAGAATAAGAACATTTACACTTTAATTTTTTTATTTTTGACATGAATAGATTCATTATTTAGAAACTTTGCACTGTAATCATAAATATAGGATGAGTATGTATACAGCTAGGTACTCCATTTATGGATGTTTGTTATTCATTAAATAAGTAATGTAGCTAACTCAATAAGTCTATTTTCCATACAAACGACCAAAGTGTCATTCAATGATCCAAACAATAGAGTTATCCAAACTTTAACACAGTACACTTTGACATTCTTCTCTCAGTTCCACTCTTTTACGTAATTAGGTTAAACTTTAAGCTAAAAACATTTTTTTACTTATAAATCACGTCTTTTTAGCAAATGTTATATAGTAAAATTTGAAAATGTGATGTTTGTAGTTAATTTAGCAGATATATTTTAAGGATTTTGAAATTTTTAGTTTTGAAACTTTATATGATGTGCGTAATTTGGATTATTAATAACAAATAATACAGTTCACAAGTCTAGTTGGTCCAAGTCTCTTTTGGTAATATTCCACGACCAGAAGGGTGATATTGTCTTTTCACTTAAGAGTATGTAATGAAATTGAAAGAAGGAATGGCTTGCAGTGTTGGCAATGTCTGTCTCTCTTTCTCTTCACACCAAAGAACTTTTTTTTGTAACCTCCAAAGTTTCCCTCTCTATTTTCGACGGTTACGCTGCCTCAATCTCACCTACCATAAGAAGAAACCCAGAAACTTACCAAAATTTTGAACCTTTACCTCTTCTCCTCCATACCCATTTGATCACAAAACAGTTTGTGGAACAGAGGAAATGCCGCTTGTTAGGGTTGAAGTGAGAAACGTTTACGGTTTAGGTAAAACAGAGCTTCACAGAGACGTCAACCGTGAAGACCCCAAAGCTGTTCTTGATGGTGTTGCTGTTTCTGGACTCGTTGGGATCTTGCGTCAGCTCGGTGATCTCACCGAGTAAGTTGTCTTCAAGTCAACTCCAAACTCTCTGTTTCCTCTTTATTTAGTTTTCTTTAATAATTGAGTTTATTACGTCATAAAATGTAATGTCTTCTTTTGTATTAATGTGATTTGAGTCAAGTGAAAAGAAAACAAAATTTAAGTGCTTAATCGGTTTGGTAATTGTCAAACCCTTTCAGGTTTGCAACAGAGATTTTCCATGGGATACAAGAAGAAGTTATTCTTACATCTTCAAGAAGCAATAAACTAAAGATGAGACTGAAGCAGATAGAAGCTACTGTTCCTTCAATCCAGAAGGCAGTTCTTGCACAAACAAACCACATACAGTTTGCATACACTGGAGGTATGTTTTTTTTTCCCCTTGTCTTGTTTCTATTGTCATTCTTCTTTATTGTCTGATTCTTGTGTAGGCTTCTTCACATGAGTTATTTATTTTAAAAGTATATCTTCTGAGTTCAGTGTAGGCCCAGCTCACATGCCTTTTTCACTGACTTCTTTACTTAAAATACTCTTTTGAGTTTAGAGTTTGGTAATTATGTCAGTAGTCTTATATAAATCACATGGTGAAAGCTACTAACTCTCTTCCTCTTGGATCTATATTTTAGTTATTATAATCATTTGAGTTATTATCTTAGTGAAAGTTGGATACCATTGAATCACTAGTGTTTTGACATCAGAATGGTATAATCTATAGAGGCATATAATTAATTTGCTATAATGAATCAACTGAGTTTATTTGGTGTGGTAATGATATGATGAAGATGATTAATTACTATGTTAAAGTATAGTGAAAGAACTGAGTATCAAAATGGTGTTTCAGGACTTGAGTGGCATCCTCGTATACCAAATGGGCAAGATTACTTTGTTTATGACGACTTGCCACAGTTTATAATGGCGCCATATGATGATTGCCGTGATCCTCCACGGTTGCACTTGCTAGACAAGTAAGCATATACGCACCTTACTCATTTTTAGTATCATTTCAGTATGTGTTGATGCTGATTCTTTGCGGTTCTTTCCAGATTTGATATAAATGGTCCAGGGTCTTGTCTCAAACGTTACTCTGATCCTACTCATTTCAAAAGATCATCAAGAGCTTCTAAACTTCCAGAGATTAAGGTTTGTCTTTTGAAGATGTAAATCATGTTTTTGTAGAGTCTCTTACTTCTTCTAACGTTTTGTTCTGCTTTGTCTACTTATATGCACAAAGCAGAAGAAAAAATCTCTGCCTAGGAGCCGAGATATATCTCGTGTTGCCTCAATGGCTAACCAGAGTGACAGGTAAATAAGATTACATTGTTGAGATGTGATTTGTATATGACTCAAAACCTGAATTGTGATATGGTTTTCAGGAAGACTTTGACTTCTTTAAGCTTCAGTGGAAGAACCTCTTCCTCTAAAACTGCATCAACCATGGAAACTGAATCCAAATCCGACTTGCAAGATCATCGTTCTTTCTCGTTTGATTCAAGAAGTGGTGGAGAGAAACTGAAAGGTGTTTCTACATCTTCAAGGTTTACACCTGGTCCTCGGACCATTGCTTCAGTTCTGTCTGAAAGTGAAAGTGAAGATGAAAATGATGATAGTCCTCCTTCTCAAGGTCTAACAGCTGGTGGCTCCTCTTGCGTTAGTTGGCATGAGAAAGCTGAGATAGTGGAAACTAATGCTCTGAAAATCGAAACAGATGAAGCTCCTGATGTAATGGATACTAATGCTGAACTGGAAGAACATGGAGAGGTTGAAACTGTCCAAGATATCAAACCAAGGGGAATGGAGATGGACAGTGAAGATGAAACTGCAAGCGAAGAAGACGATTTTGTTGATGCACTTTACACCATTGATTCAGAATCTGACAATGATCAAGAGGTTCAGAAGAAGATCTCCAATGAGATTATAGAAGAAGAGTTTGATAATAATGTGTGTGAGCAAGAAACAGAGAATGTTTCTAGCAACTTTAGTCTAGACCATGAGGCCATGTGTGCTTCTGCATCAGATCTGCATTTATCATCACCGCTGAGTAAACCTGATGAGATGATTCATCAAGATCCGTGGGAGGCTTTAGATATAAGCAATAGTACTCCTCATAGCTATTCCAATGGCTTCTCAAATCCATTGTATGACACCAATGGTGTTCAAGAAAACCAAGAATCAGAAGACGAGAGTTCTTGTGACAACGAAGAAGGGCCTAAGTTATGGACTAATGGAAATCTGTTGGGGCTGAAGCCATCCAAGCCGAAGACTGTGGAGGAAACCATCCAAGAGGCTGATGCTGAGCCCTTGAGAGAAGAAGCTAACAAGGCTGCCTTTGACTGGTTTACTTCATCTCCTCAACTTGATCACATGAAAATATCTTTCAGTAACTCAGAAGCCTTACCAAGTTCAAAACTGAAGCTGAAGCTTCCAGATGAATATACATTTTCTTCCTTTCAGTTGGTACCAGAGACTGTTACTGCTGCTTCACTTCCTGATTCTGATTCAGACAAGGACACTTTCTGTAGAACCTCTTCTTACGTTTCAGATAACAGTGACAATCACTCTGTGTCAATCTCTGAGCAGCAGTCGGAAGAAGAGTCAGGTGAAAGAAAGAGCCAACAAGATCAGCTTTATGATTCTTTTCAAAGTATCAATGCTGAAGCTTTTTCTCTCTCAGCTCCATCTTCACAGTTAGAAACATCAAATGCTAACTTAGCTGGAAAGATCTCTTACCTCCAGAATCCAGCTGAGCCTTTACCACCTCCTCTCCCTCCGTTGCAGTGGATGGTTTCTAAGGTACCATCAGGGAGATTCGAGGATAACAACAAGCAGTCTTTTAAAGAGACTCTCACAAACGCATTAGAGCAGAGAAGTTCTTTATCTACAGTCAGGAAAGAAGAATCAAACAATGTCATTGCTTATGATCCTAATCTAGATAACAACAAGCAGTCTTTTAAAGACACTCTCACACCTGCATTGGAGCAGAGAAAGACTTTATCTACGGTCAAGAAAGAAGAGCCAAATAATGTCCCTGCTTATGATCCTAAACCAGATAACAACAAGCAGACTTTTAAAGACACTCTCACACGCGCACTGGAGAAGAGAAGCTCTTTATCTACGATCAAGAAAGAAGAATTAAACAGTGGCATTGCTTATGCTCCTAAACCAGATAACAATATAAGGGATAATAAGAAAAGTCATGGCAACGCAAAAGAGACAGAAGCTGAAGACTTCTTGCATCAAATCCGAACAAAAGTAAGTCTTGTCCCACAGTCCTTTCATATATCTATATTGTATTCTCGTATTCAACAACATACTTTTGAATCATAACAGCAATTTACCTTGAGACGTGTGGTCACTACAAAGGCATCATCATCTGAAGCTACGATGAACAACAACTTCAGTGTGATTCTAGAGAAGGCAAACTCCATCAGACAGGTTTCAGCATTTACATTTTGATCTCTCTTTCAATTTGCAAGTACACCACTTTTTGTCCTTGCATAAAGCATTAACACTTCTGCACTTGTGGTCTTAGGCTGTTGCAAGCGACCATGGAGATGGCGAAAGCGATTCATGGAGCGATAGTGACACATGACAACTGAGTGCAGTACACTGAGAGAACACCACATTCATTCGGTTTCTTGTATGTTTATTGCTTAGTAGATAGCTGATTTTGTCCTACGTTTATCTCTATGTATCTTCAACTAATAATAACTATAGAAACTATAGTACAGAATAAAACTTTTTTATTTCCAATGCCCATTAACAACTGTGCTAATATAGTAGAACAGTTCTTAATCAAAATCAATTGAAAACAATGCTTAAGAAGAGAAAATGTAATCATACATATTTTTGAAATCTGCGATGATGTGATCAAATACTAACGAAGTGGACGAATACACGATGAGATGTGGAGTTTAGAGTTTGACCATATATGATCTCATCAACCTAATCCACAGGAATTTCAACGTCCATCTCCGGTTTACAGCTCCCAAAGACCTGTGACATTCGAGACGCAAGAAAGAAGATGTAGCATCAGAATCATATACTACAAAGCGCTCTGACAAAGACAAAAGGTTATGTCTGCACGCAAGTCTCTGTAATTATGATGCTACAATCATATCAAACAAATATATATGTACGTACCTTAATGAAATCCTCCAGTGTTAAGAAAGAGTCATTGGTGTAGCCTGCTTCCTTCAGAACCTGGCTCAGTACTCGCTACACCACCAAAAGCAAAAACAAAAGACACATGGTGGTGAAAAACACTTTTTTATTTGCTGAGTTTATAGTACAATACTCATGATCCTAAGATTCCTAACCATACTAATATAGTGTAGTCACTATTCAAAACCTGAACATATGGTATACCATTTAATATTAACCTTATAAAGTGCCAGGTGGATGCCTAAAAATGGTTGTCAACTTTCTCTATACATACCTCTCTTTGCTCATCGGACATGAATGAGCCAGATAAGTCCCTCAACACTTCCATGATATCTTTAAAGGAGACCTTCCCGTTGCAGTCCGAATCATAGACTTGAAAGATCACTGAAACAAGCAAAGTCTAATGATTTTCAGATATATATACAATAATAAAGTGAAGATGTGCTAAAAAGAACTGATTTAAAAGGAAACTATTATTACTTACGTTTAACCTTTTGTTTAAGACTTGCCTTGGCACTGAAAGCAGACAAGAAAGCGACAAAATCCTTAAAGTTCAAACCATCAACCATCTTAAGCAACCTCAGAGAGAGTGGATTCATGGCGAACTCAGGGACAGAGAGAAACTCATCAGAAGATATAAATCCCTTTGCGTTTCGATCTAACTGGCAAAACCTTTGATACAGAGAGAGTATCTCCTGCTGCTCAACTGAACAAGAAAAATCATATAAAAAATTTTCAAACACATAACAGAAGAGAAAGAATCTCACATAGATCCTGGCAATGGCTCTGGACTTCTTCAATGTCGTATTGAGTCAGCATTGAGGAAGTGTTTCCCATTTTTCTCGAATTTCTAAAATCTGTTTTCAAATATGGTAAAATCATCCATCATTCAGATAAAAACAAGTAAAGCATTAAGCTTTCGAATTCATCAGCAAATAAGAAGAGATGAAAATAGCAAAGGGAGAAGAGAAGGAAGGCATAAGTGGTAATGTAACGCAGGAAATCAAAGATCACACCTTTTGGTAACTAAATAACAATTCAAGCACAAAGGGAAGAGACCCATCACTAAAAAAACATCGATTCATTAGAGAAAACGCAAACCCTAGAACCATTGGTTGAATACAGAGCAATGAGTGAATATTAAGAGAAATTGAAATTGAGTGCTACAGAGAGAGAGAGAGAGATGGAGAGTACGGTAGAGACAGCTTCAGGCTTCTCGAATAATGGCGGCGAATATTTCGATTCTCATCCACACGGCGAAGAAGAAACTGTGAAGCTGAGATTCAAACCAAGTGATTGATCGAAGAAGACGACGGGTTTGAAGATCTAACCGATGTCGTTTCAAAGCCATATGCAAGCGACGTCGTATTACCGAAACAAAAACAAGGACAAAATTGCCGTCCACTTTTTTTTTTGTTGTTGTCAACAGCGAAGATGCTGACTGGATCTGATCTATATAGAAAAATATATATCCTCTAGTCCTTGCTTATTTTGCTAGTGCATCCGCTCGACTATTTTTACTTCGAGAAATATAAGACAGACTCACATCCTCGAAATTTTCTTATAATCTTTGGAACACTTTGATTTCTATCTTGAAAGTCGGCCATTCCTCCTGGTTAATAGTAATGTCCATTAGGTCCTAGCAGTCTGTCTCAAACCATATCAAAGTTATCATTCTGTCTCTCATACGTGAAGCTGCCCAAAATAAACTTTTCATCTTAACATGAAAAGCTGAAAGATTCCTTCCACACGCTCGTAATCTGTAGACTTCAGAATTCATTTGACCTTAAGACTTTACCCTAGACTATTAACACTATTATTATCGATTCATGATGCATCAATTTGTCAGGTAAGAATTCAAAGTATCCAAAAAGATTATGTCTTAACCTATATAATAGGAGAGTCGTCATGATCATCGTTTGTGTCTTCCCTTTTATTAGTCTTCTTCTAACATTCTATTTTCAAAAAATTACATATTAAAAAATGTCAATTAAAAATATAAATTTTTCATTAAAAAGTTTGTGGTTTCTTACCTTCCAAATGTACCAAGAAATGTACCAAGAGATTCATTGTCTTCCGTTTATTATGGAGATAGATCATCGCAGTATAAGAATTCGCCTGTGATCTGACTTATATAAACGAAGGCCGAATTATTAAAAAAGCTCATCATTATATAAAATCTTAACTCCGACTATTTTTTTCCTACCTGATTTGATTAGTGAAGCATGAATGTTTTAATGTCCGCCCTCTTCTTCATCTGTCACGACACGATGGAGTTTATAGTGCACATTTTGGTATAATATGTAAAAATGTACTTGCAAACACACTCACACAACATTTTTTTGGCAAATATTTGGTACTATTTTGGTGTTACATTGTTAAAATATTTTGCTATTCGTAAAGTATTTTGGTGTTTAATGTTCAAAATATATATATATATATATATATATATATATATATATATATATATATTTTGGTGTCAAACAAAAAAAAGCTATCACCAAAAATTGTTTCGGTGTATAAATATATGGACCTGATTTTAGATAAGTATGAAATAAACAATTCGCTTTATTTATTTTTTTAGTTTGTATATATATAGCTTTTAATTTTTCATATTTTTATTTATTTAAACAGAATGATATATTTAGGTAGTTATAGATATCATTCGGAATCCCAATGTGTATAGGATACGAAAATAAAAATATAAGCCTCGTTAAACCCTTCTTTACGCGGATAAATAGCTTTTCGTGTTCTATATCTCTTCAAATCCTACAAAAGCATCGCTTCTCAGACCTTCCTCTATCACCTGGTTTCGTTTTCTTCAATAGTAAGTTTTTTTGTTTTAGCGATTGCACAATATTAAAGACATCCCTCGCTTTAGCTATTTCTACTTAGGTTTCCGTAGATATCTTCTATGGTCGCTTAGAAGATAGAGAAACACTTTTTTCTTGTGGGTATTAGCTCATGAAAATAGCTACGTTGCTATAATTAAAGATACTGAATTTAGGTCTTGAAACCCTAAGTCTTGTTTCATACGGTACTAACCAGGTTCAACTGAAGAACGTCGGAGCCATGGAAGATAACCACTGGGTTGATATGATGATAGATAAAATCGGATTTGCATTAACCAAGGTTGATGAATCGATTCAAAAGGTAAGTATTGTTCTTCTTCTACTTGATCTTTTTTCGTTAGTCTCTCCTGCGTTGATCTTTATATGATGTTTCATGCCCTAAATTTTACAAGAGTATATATGCATGAAGCATGAACGTATGTATCTTCTTTTTATCATCATCAACCCAAGAAATTTGATGCAGCGTAGATATTATGTATCTTTTGTTTATATATGCATAGATCACTCGTTACATCAAACCCTAATCACGGTCTAAACACATAGTATTAGAAATTTAATGCGTCTAGTATATATACTGAAACTAACCTTTTACTCCTATTTATTTTTTTTCGTTTTTTTTAATTTTAACAGAGTATTGAACTCTGGAAAGACTTAACCAAAGACATATATGACGAGCAGCCTACACAAGACACAATCAAACAACCAAATACTAGTAAATCCGGTGAAGAAGATTCCTCTCAAGAATCACCGACCCAACACTGGGCCATGTGTGGTATGTGTTCTCTCTAGTTTTATTTTATGATCTTGACAGACAAGTAATCAACTTAATTTGTGTGACAGCTTCAAAAATTCCAGAGAGTTTGATTCAAGAACAAGGGGATGATGAAGTTGATGAGGAAAAAGAAAAAGAAAAAGAAGATGACGAGAGTACAGTTTCGGAATCTAGTGGTGAAGAAGACATGTGTGAGCTTACTTTGGGAGCTAGTACTGTAAGTTTGAAGCAGCTTCTTTCACAACTTTATATCCAATTCATGTAACTTTAACTAGTTGCTAGTTTGGTTTATTGTCTTTGACTTAATCTTTTGGTGGTCAGGATTTGAGTTTGAAGTGGAAAGATGGTTATGAACAATTAAAGGATGATGATATATCATTGGATGATGATTATGATCATTGGAGGTATTGCTACTTACCTCCTGTGCACCCTCTCCATAAAGAAAATAATGTAAGTTTGAAGGCAGTTTTATTTCACCATCTTTATATCCACCACCCTCAACAAACAACAAGAATAATTATTACCGTAACGTAATCGTATTCATGAATCTAGTAGTTCTAATTTAGCTGTTAATTATTAATACTATTTTCTTTGACTGAATCTTTATGATTAGGCTTTGAATCCACTAGGGAGTCCTTATCATATGTCAACAAATGATGATACGTGTTCCAAAAAAGATGATGAAGAGGAAGATGAAGATGAGACTAACTCGGAGACGAGCTATATCCCTAGTGGGTACCATCATCGTAATGAAGAAGACACTGTAAGTTTGAATCAGTTCTTGACGTCTCTTCATATCTATGCTTATTACAAGAACTAGAGAGGGAATTCATTAATTTAAATAACTTGCTAGTTTGGTTTATTGTCTTTGATTGAATCTTTAATTATGGTTTTATTAGGATTCAAGAGATGGTGATGAGATGTTAAAGATGGCGAGGTGGAGGGCGAGAGATGGTTATGAGCTGTTAAAGAATGATGACACGTCTTCCAAAGATGATGATGATGTTGATGATTCATGGGTTGATGAATTGATGGAATGGATGGAGAAGCGTGGAATGGTCATGAGATGTAGTACAGACTGTGGCTGTGTAAGTAACCTACCTTTAGCAGTGGCTGATATTGATGATTATGATGATGATGATGATGATGATGTGTCGGACAAGTTACACGGATTTGTGGATGTGAAGAAAGAGGAGGTTGGGAATAAAATGGAATGTGGCGAGGTCGAGACACTTTTACCAGAATGTGATTGGGTTTATGTGACGAGGGACGAGGGGTTAGGTCTTTGATTTTCTTTTGGCATGCATATTTTGTGTGATCTAAATTTGAGTGTTGAGATTTTATATCGGCTTTTATGGGTTTTTTTTTTCCTGCGATACGAAACGGATTGTTTTAGAATTTTGGAATGTTTCATTCACAATGCCAATACTCTTATTGTTGTGTTTTATATAACCATCATTACTTTTTGTTTTTTTATTACTGGTTTTTCATAAAACCAAAAATTTGAAGTGTTTTTTTTTTATCAACTAAATTTGATGCACTGTATTATAAAAAGATAACAAAAATTTGCAATTGTTAAACAAAAGAAAACTGATAACATATGATAAGATAATAAAAGTTCCACCCAATAAATTTGTTATCGGTTGTAATCACAAGAAAAGGGAAAGATTAGAATGCTTGATGTGTCATGTAATGCAAGTAGGTACGATTACAACAACTTCAGTGATTGTTCAGTCACGACATCATTCACAACAAGTGAGCAAACTTGGTTCTACATAATTAGGCTGATTTAGAAATAAGCATCTCGATTGGACTTTATGTATTTTTTTAATCTTATTTATTTTTAAATCACTACTCTTATCAAATAAGCTTTATTTTTAGCTACATTTTTATTTGTACATGTTTTTTTTCCTTAAAAAAACAACTATTAAAATGATTCAACACTTGTTGTATTTTTCTATACCAAAACCATATAGATATCAGTAAAAATTATAGATTTAAATCCTACCACATGCTTTTTACATATACGTCCAAACCAATTATTCTCTAATGAAATAATTACATTGAAAGACACATTTTGTGTTTTCAATTACACAAAAGAGCACATTGTGTTTATAAGACACTTTCTATAGTTGATTTCTCGAATATACCCTTTAACTAAATAGAAACTTTCTAAAGAGAAAAAAAATAAAAAAGAATTAAAAATGAGAAAAGATTCTCTGTCAAACTAAACGTAACATCTTCTTCTTTTCTATTCAACATTGATACTTGATCTTTCATTTCTTTATTTCAGAAATTCATATGGGATTGATTCAGTCAAAATTAATGCGGTGAAGCTTATCCCCAAATACACACAACATCTCTAATTTGAAAAAAATGTAAGCTTTTGAGAAATTAAAGTTTTATAAAAATGATATGTGAAGAATTAAGAGTTTCGTAGGCGGCAGAGGCTGTGGTGGTCACGGAGGCAGTGGAGGCCACGGTGGAGAGGGTGGTGGATATGGCAGGTGGAGGCGGTGGATGCCACGGTGGAGATAGTGGTGGTTATAGAGGAGGCGGTAGTAGAAGACGAGGGGGAATATATACTTGGATACAGATCTAAGTCAACAAGCTTTCAAATCTGTCGTCGTAGGCTCACCTTCGTAAAGCTTCCCATTTCACCACTGTATGTGTTGGATTTCATGTTACAGAAAAAGTGTGAACAAAAGAGAAGTAGATATAATAGTAGTGGATGTCAAAGTTGTGGTAGAGAGAATTGTGGACGAGATAGTTGTGGACAAGATACTTGTGGACAAGAGAATCATGCTAACGTTTTTTATAAAGAAGATATGCAATTGGCTGTCTATGTTTTAAGTTTTTGTACAATCAAGTGGAAGCTCAATTATGCAATGTGCTGGACTTTGTGATCTAACAAACCATGTAAGAGAGTATGTGTACTGATTCAAAGATATCTGAAAACTTTCTTCTGTAAAACTCATGGATTGGTGATTTGTGGACAATGGTTTATGGATGAATGTATTGTGGATGAATTTCTCGTGGATAATATGCCGTGGATGGTATCACGTGAATATATATATGGATATTTCATGGATGAATGTATCATGGAGAGAATACACCGAAGTAGATTTGTAGCTGGTGGGTTGTGAGGAGATTGTGTGTGGATCTGACAAAGATGGTGGTCATGGACAATGGAAAGAGAGGATGGTGATGATTTGAATGGCGTTGAGGAGATGGATGAAACCAAAGTGGATTTGTTTGGATGAGAGTTGTGAGAAGTTGATAACAGAGTTCAGGGAGATTATAAGTGAGATCGTGGAGTAGAGAAGAAGATAACAATGGTGGTGGAAGAATCTATCCTATTAAAAGTGAAGTACAAAAGGGAATTAACCCTCAATTCTTCTCATTATTTACAACAGACTGCCACTGGTAGTTTCTAATTAATCGCAAATGTTATGTTTAAAGCCAATTTCGTTTTTCTGCTCTAATTTTTAATGGGCTACGTTGAGTTTATAGTAAACTTACTTATACCTGAGCCTAATTGTCTTTTGTGTAACCATCTTTAACCAGCTGACATCTCCAATCTCTAACCATATAAAATCGGCACTCATAATCGTATTTCACATGCAGAAACTTATAATTATAACATCTGTTTTCTACAATTTTTGAAAAGGACATTATAACAAGTATTTTCTAGAGAACTACATATACCAATCTTTGGCTTATTATATAATATATTCCCATGAAAAACCAGTTGGTTTGTCAAATTCAATCTAGAGTAGAAATCATTCAGTTTTCTTATTTATTAAATAATTATAATATTACTCAAAAAGAAATCTATCTTTCAAACGTGAGATCGAGATTTACAAAGATCTTCCTTGCACCTGTCATTAAAACAATATATCCGATATTATCAATTCAAATTTTTAACAAATCAACTAACTATTCTTTAAATCTTTAAATATCTTAAATACTTAACATAATAACCCCTACATTTAAGGTCTCACATTAATAGTAGATATCGAACAACTTGATAATCACGATAACATAGGTATGATTGAATACAAATAAAATTTTGATATCATAAATTTAAACTTCCCTAAAAATGTTATCAAAATTTTAATCACACAAATCTTTAAAAATATTCGAATATTAAAGATATTCCTTATCCTGAACGACTTGCTCATCAAGTTTTTTAATAATTAGTTTAGATTTACCGATCACATATATACCTATATATATATATATCATTCATTCTACGTTCAATAACAACATTTATTAGCGATCTAAACCAAAACACAAAAAAAATGTCAAACAACGCAAGTCTTGTGCCTGTGAAAGACTTGAAACCATCCAAGACTAAATGGCGATCTCAAGTGAAAGTTCTACATTCATGGCTTCAAAACACTGGTTTTGGTGGGGAGACTCTTCAAATGATTCTGACCGATGAACACGTAATTACAATACACAATCAATCATCACTTTATTGTTCCTTAATATGCATTGCTTACATTATATTATTCTTCTTTTGTAGGGTGAAAAGATTACTGCTTAATGCAAAAGGAATCACATGTTGGGTGTCCTGCGAAAACTACCCCCGGGAAAATGTTGTCTTCAAAGAGGTTTTTGCTAACGTGGAATAGTACCAGTGACAGGTAAATTTTTTTAATAGAGTTGTCATCTATTTATTTTTGTGATTTAAATATACATAGATAGGTAATTTTGTTTACTTCTTTTCGAATTCAGGTTTTACAGCTTTACAAACAAGACATGCATATTTTCTGTTTCCTAAGCCACAATCAAAACTAAGCACACTTTCTTTTTATTTTGGTTTTTTCGGAACAATAAACAAACTGTTTCTATTTTTAATTATTTTATACGTTTTTTAATTTTGATTTAGTTGGATGTTAACACAATCATCCAAACAGCATACAATTTATGAATAATCAGATCAAGTTAAATGAAACAAATAACCATAACTATTGACCTAGCACAATACCAATATTATATGTCATGCATTAATTAAATGTTATGATCACTATATTTGTTAACATGTCTAAGAAAATTTGCTTCATCAGCAATTTACTAACCTTGTGTTGTTTGAACTGATATGTTGTCCGCTTCATTGCCCCGTTCAAGAAAAGTCAAAGAATCAGGTTTAGCACGCAACACGCTGGCTAATTCAACCAATCTCGCCACCTAAATGTTTAACAGGCACTAAAATTACCTGATATTTGGTAAGAGGTTGTTCTTCATTTAGCATGTGCTGCCCAATCAATGAGACGTTGATCAAGCGCCCACGTTACTTACTTCCAATGTGTAATGGTTGGAAGTTCGTTGATCCAGTCCGCTCCTCTTAAAAAAGGAAGATATCAGCTTAAGGAATTAACAACATGGACTAAATATTTTTTATTTATTTATTTAAAAAAAAACGTAAACTTACATCGGACAAAGGCCATTTCTTTGATATGTTAAGCGTATCTGAGTATTTGTACATGGTCCTATGGAAAACTCATTTCCTGCAAAAAGCTTGAGTCTTTAACCACTTAAAGCAAGTAACATATTTCACAGATTCTATAAAACATATTTCAATGTATAAGTTACTCACAGAGAATTTCAAAATATGATGAAATAAGTACTTATCTTCTTTTTATCATGTCGGTTTTTCCCTTTTCTTTTTCCGGAGCTGCTCGAACTCTATCTCGGACACGCTTAAAACCGAACGATTAATCAAATACATCAACACTGACGCATGAGGCATTTTTTCAATTGATGTATCCATGTCTACTTTTTCTTCTTCTATGTCTTGATTTCATAGACAATCAAGGAAAGAATTAACCTGTTCAAAACAAAACAAAAAACGTTTTCTTCAAATCAACAGAGTATACAAGAAGATGTTAAACAGAGTATAGAGAGTAATTGGTACCTTGCTTCTGTCAAACAATCCGTTCATTACTCCTTCTAAATCCTGTAAATAATCGAAAATCGAATGAACTTCTCCCTGGAATTCGCCGATTACGTAGAACCCTAGACTCTTCTTTGTCATCGATTGGTTTTTTTTGCATAACAGTTTTTTTCCCTGCATAAAGTAGTTAATAATGTTTGTTGGGCCTTTGTAAATTTTTCATAAGAAATTTGGGCTATGAACATTTAAATTTATGTTTACAGATTTATCACTAGCATTTACAAAGCCTCTTTATAAAAAGAGCATATTTAAAAAAACTATAAATTCATATTTTCTAATTTACATAAAATTAGTCCAACTATATTTGATCTATAACTAAATATGGTTAATAATTTAATATGAACTTATTCATTTCTAAATATGTTAACAAAATAATCCATTCAAGTTGATGACATAAGAAAAACATATCAAATTTTGGTTTATTTTATATAAAAGTAACAAAAAAACACTTAAAACTATATGATTAACAAACCTCTTTCCAACAATTTAGATATAACTAATCAAAATCATCATTTAAACATTTTAGATCATCATATAATATATACGTATATATATATATATATAATATCTCAAATACATAAATGATAACAAATAGTATAAAATATCAAACCAAAACAAACACCCGCGCGGGCGCGCGGGTCAAAGTCTAGTGATGGTTAAGAGAAAATACAGTTTGAATATAAATGTATTTTAAAATCGTGTGGTTCACAATCAATCACATTATTCTATGAAAACAACTTTTTTAATAGCTACATTTTCTGTTCCATTAAAATACAATAAAAATTAACCAAAATTCTTTTTTTTTTTTAATTATGCCAACTTTTCATCTCTGCACGTGAAGGGCAAATCAGTACAAAGCACCTCTTAGTTTTTATGTATTGTGTCCACAAAATAGTATGTGTCTAATAGTGATCCCCTATATATTAATTGAGAAACATTTGAAAAGATGTAACCTCAAGTTTGTATTAATTAAAAAATAATCTTGCTTAGTTGTCAATCAATTAGCATATCAATTAAACTGACGTGGCGGCTTTAGGTTCAATTGAAATTTGCTAGGGAAAAATAATTAGAGACGCATATAACGCATGTAACATAGTTTATATATTTATATATATCGCACACATGTAATGGAAGAAAAGGAAAATATACGATTTGATAACGATTTGCATATATTAA